GCCCAGTTTTGGTGTCAGGGTAATCTTGGCCTCATAGAATATGTTAGGAACTATTTCATCTTCAATTTTCAGGAAGAGTTTGCATAGAATTAGTATTCGTTTTTCTTTTAGTATTTGGTAGAATTTATCAATGTAGGTATCTGAGCCTCTAACCTTTTTGTAGAAAGATTTTTAACTGTTGGGTTAATATAAAGAATAAGATATAATATTATTCATGTACTTTATTTTTTTATATTTAATGTTTTTCAAGAAATTTGTCCATTTCATCTAAATAATCAAGTTTATTGGCATAAAGTTGTTTATAATATTCTCTTTTTAGCCTTTTGATGTCTGTAGAATTTGTAATGATTTTACTTTTCAAATTCTCGATATTATAATTCGTGTCTTCTCTCTTTCCTGATATTCTAAAAGAGCCAGTTTTTAGTTTCTTTTTTCTGTTTTTTAAAATTGTTTTCTATTTCATTAATTTCTGCTCTGAGATTTATTATTTTCCCCTTATTTTGTGTTTAATTTGCTCTTATTTTTCTAGTTTCTTAGGGTAGAAGCTGAGGTCATTGATTTGGGACCTTTTGTTTTTTTCCTTTATGTATGTGTGTGTGTATATGTTTAGTGCTATAAATTTTTTTCTTGTGTACTGCTTTAGCAATATTCTACAAAACTGATATATTGTGCTTTTTAAATTTACTTCAAGATAATTCAATTTTCCTACTTATTTCTTTGACCAAACTAAGTTCTTCTTTGACCAAAATGTGTTATTAAGAGGTGAGGTTCATAGTTTTCATATATTTGAGCATTTTCTGGAGGTTTTTCTGTTACTGGTTCCAATGTAATTCCATGGGGATCAGATGACATACTCTGCATGGCTTGAATCCTTTAAAATGTATTGAAACTTGTTTTATGGACCAAAATATGGAATGTCTTGGTAAATATTCCATGTACACTTGCAAATAAAATATATTCAGCTTTTGTTGAGTGGAGTGTTATACAAATGTCAATTAGGTCAAGATAGTTGACATTGTTGTTCAAATCTTCTGTATCCTTGACTGATTTCTGTCTACTTGTTTTATTAATTGTTAATAAAGGGCTATTGAAATGTTTGAATATGATTGTGGATTTGTCTCTTTCTCCTTGTGGTTCTATCCATTTTTATTTCATCATTTTAAAACCCAGTTATTAGGGGCATAAGTGTTTAGGATTGTTATCTTTTTTTGGTGAATTGACTTCTTTATCATTGTTAAATGACTTTATCTTCATTAATATTCTTCATTCTAGAATCTACTTTTCCTGATATTAATATGCAGCTTTCTCTTGACTAGTGTTAACAAGGTATATATTTTCCCAGTCTTTAACTTTTAACCTATTTGTGTCTTTATGTTTAAAGTACATCTCTTATAGGTAGCATATAGTTGGGTTTTCTCAGCTTAGGAAATTTTCCAGGTTCTGGTTGGGTTCCCCTTCCTGTGCCATGACCTAAAAACACCTTAGGCAATAATGGGACTTATTTGGTTTAGTTTCCCATCTCTCAAGAACAGGGCTTGGTCTGGAATAAGATAAGTGTGGCCCCTTATAGTGCAAAATTTTAGAAAGTAATCATTCTCATATACATATTTTTAAAGTAGATTCCTCTTTAAATTTTGGATCCTCTTTAAATTTTTTATCTTCTTATTTTTTTTTAAGATATTGATTCTAAAGAGAGAGGAAGGAAGGGAAAATGAGAAGGAGAGAAACATCAATTAATTGTCTCTTGCATGTGCCCTAACTGGGAATCAAACTGGCAACCTTTCAGTTTATGGGATGATTCTCAACCAGCTGAGCCACACTGATCAGGGCTTTTACCTCACACTTAAGAAGACACTCACAGAGTTCTGCAAGTACAGGGCTAGCACCTAAGAGTATAATGCCTCTTGTAACTTTGTACTTTAGGAGCCTCACTCAGCTCACCCTAGACTCAGCCCTGCCCTTTATTGCCTGATGTCCAGTACCTTGAAAACCATTTTTAAAGTGTATTTTATCCGGATTTTTAATTATTTCAACTGGGAGGGTAAATGCAGTCCCTGTTATCTCCTTTTGATGAATTGACTTCTTTATCATTGTGAAATGAGTTTATCTTTTAAAAAGATAATTCCATCTTTTCTGCAAGCAGAAGTCAGGCTTATTCTTCATGAGAATTAAAACCAAAAATCCTGGATATAAAGCTACATGACTAAAATACATATGTTTTCAGGCCTCCTTACAAAAGAATTTAGCAAAAAATTGATCTTCATTCAGCAAGCAATCAATGAGCACAGCTCTGTGCCATATTCAGGGCTAAGAGCTGAGGTTAAAAATCAAATAAGACAAGGTAGCTATCCACCCATGCTCATAGCTGCCTTCTTTAGAACTATTGGATTGGCCCTTTCATAACACATATCACTTGCAACATGGGCCAGGGAACGCAGAGAGCCAGAGAGAGTCAGACATAGACCTGAGGGATCATCTCTGCTAATTCCCATGCCCAGGCTAGTTCAGGGACTCAGTTGAGTCACACAGCTTGTCAATAGTAGATGATTGCTATATAGTCTATTTTGAAGTATATGGAGGAGGGATCCAACTCAAAATAACTTCTGTTGCTGCCAGTCACCATGACTAAAATCCCATCATTAGAGACTTAGTCATTGAGGTCAGGGCCCCTGTTTTATTCATGTTTGCATTTCTCAGTGTTAGCTTAGAGCCTGAAACATGGAAATCAATAGATATGAATGAATGAATGAATGAATGAAGTTAAAATGATGAGCACGCCTCTGGGAGGTGACTTAGGTTATTATCAGTTGGGGATGAGTAGACTGTGAAGAGCAGGCCCACAGCTGGGACCCATGATAGGAAGGTAATTGTAAGTAAAGTAAGTTCAAGAGGTCTCTAACTGTACTTAGACCTTGATCTGAGTTATTTAACATATCCCAGTGTGGCTCATCTGAGTGACAGGAATATATATTTTTTTGTTCATGTAGGCAGCCAAAGGAAGGCAAAGGAAATTACACGTGACCTTCTGCCCTGAAAAGCTGAGGCATGCCAGGTTTTATCTCAGGTTGCTACTTTCCTGAAGAGGGGCAGGAATCTTAATCCTACTTACCTTATGGAAGGATGTCAGATTTCAATAGGATGAAGTAGGTTAGGGGTTTGGCAAGACAAATCCCCCAAGGAATGACAGGTATTATTAGTCTACTGTCCTGGGAGCAACAAATGGGAATGAGATGAGGGCCTATGAGATGGCAGAGACCTTGCAGACAGCAGGAGGATTGCAGCTGTTCTGCTCACACTGTGTGTTTACAGAAGCTCAGATATTACCACTATCATTATCTAAGAGTCCTCCCTACACTCAGCATTGCACATAGTTGTGCCAGGCAGTGCAATTAGCCACACAGACACAACCCTGCTCTCTGGGGACTTCCAGTCAAGGCGGTTCCCTCTGGGAAAGACAGAATTAAATGTTAAATCTGCTTATGATCAGGTAATGAGCCATCCGCACCATGTGGGGATGAAGAAAAAAACGTTTTCTGAGTGGGAGGCTGATGAGAGGAGTCAGGGTGGGAGTTCCTTGTTCAGCCTGAGCAGTGAGAAGGTGAGCCTGCTCTACCTTGTCTAGACAATTCCGAGGGATCTGTTCCTGAGGCCAGAGGCAATCTTCAGCTCCAAGCCCACAGCTCTTGAAAAATCTCATAGGTGGAAGGAATTGACTGAAATAATAGATGACTTTCGTTCGAGTTATCAGCCAAAGGCCCAGGCTCTAACAGTCAGAGAAGCCCACCTGGTGACAGTGATTTTCTGCCTTTCTTCTGACCATGGACATAAGGAGCTATGATTTAGAACTCCATTGTCTCCAGTTTCCCACAAATGTATTACAATGTATATCTATATTTTTAAATTCAAATATTATCATGAATTTGAAATCTGACCTAGTCTACCTCTCAAAATTCTTTAGATGGAAAAACACAATGATATGAGATTTTCTTTGATCACATTAACCCAATTTTTCAGACTGTCAGAGTAAAATGTGCCTTTAAGGGTAATAGGCCCTATCTTCTCATTGTACAGATGAGAAAACTGAGGCCCAAGCAGGTCCCTTGTTCAAGGTATCTTAGTAGCAGCAGTGTCTAGACTGCCAGCCCAGCTTTTCATGCCTTCCCATGACATCACATTGCAGTGCATCTTCTAAAACAGCTATTTGCAGGGCTTCAAGAACCTGATCGAGGTCTATGATTTGTGATCATAGACCCCCTTGTCCTGTTGGCTGAAGACAGCCTCGTGTGTTGCCAAACCAGGCCTGCAAAGCTTGGTACAGCAGGAAGATCCTTAGGACAGGATGCAATTTCCCATCCATCCATTGCAGCCCCCACAGGTCTGTGGCAGAGGCTAAGGTTTGTTGATTGTGAGTGATACAAGAGAGAGTGCATTTGAGTGAGGGGAGCCCTCCACCCTTGGCAAGGCTGAGAAGTCGGGACAATGTGGGATTAATATCAAATACAAGTTAGATGATCTTGCATTTAAATCACAAATTTGTACAAACTGCTGTGTGGCCTTGGACAAGTCACTCAACCTCTCTGAGCCTCAATAAAATGGAGATTATAATATTTATTTCAGAGAGATGAGAAAAATAAATGACAAAATGTATGTAGAGACCTTTGCATGGTACAGTGGTCTCTATAAATGGTAGCTGGTCTATCAGAATCTGTTTTGTTGTTTGTTAAAATTGGGAGAAATTATTTTCAGGCTTGCTCTACCCACTTCCTTTCAATTGGGAAATGTCTATTACCCCACCCCACATCTCTTTTCTCTTTGATGGGCTGGCCGATCTATTAGCGATCATGGCACACTTCCCCTTGTCCTGAGCATCTGCTAATTAAGAGGTGGTTGCTAAGAGATGCTAGGGCACACTGGCGAGCTGTTCTCAAGTCCCCTGTCATTCTTTCTCAGCCTCACTTCACCCCCAGCACACCCACCTCTCTCTCATCTTCCATTCTCAGGATCTGAAAAGAACTGAGGAAAGTGACAAACCTGGATGGCTACACCTGACCAGAGAGTGGTCTCTAGACCCCAGAGACCTTCTCAGGAACAAAAGGGGAGTGGGGCCTTCCTGGGTCCCCTGGACAACCTGGAGTGTAAGGAGAGCCAGGAGTTTGTGCAGACAGAGCTGGCCATGCTGAGGAAGGCACAGGAATTCTTCCGGACCTGCGACACAGAGGGCAAGGGCTTCATTGCCAGGAGGGATATGCAGGTAAGAAGGACCCCAGCTGTCTACCTGGAATGCCAAATTGCTTGGGTCTCCCTGCCTCAGGTTAGCACTTGCCCCATTGGAGGTGATATCTTTAATAGAAGAGATGCCATCAGCTCTGCCCTAGAAGGAGGCATCACCTCTAACTCTGTTGGTTTTCTTTCCTTCTGACCTTAACTTGCTGTCATACTCAGGAGTTATTTCCCCTCTCTGACTCAGTAACTCCCCAGGGGTGGGAAGAGAGTGATAGCAACATAAGGTGGTTAAGTAAGCGGTGGTGAAGAACCTTCTGAAACAAAGGTAGAAAGACAGTGACTTGTTGCCTCACAACAAAGCTCTGAGTTCTGCCGCAGTCCTTCCTGTGAGATGCTGTGTGTGTCAGATGCAGAACCCACAAGGAAGGCAATTCTGGAGCTCATCTTGTCTGTCCCTCACCCTGAAACCCAGCTACATTTAACCCCATATGTAAGGATTTCCAGAGAGAGAGACTGCAGATCCTTGGTGCATGCCATTGCTAAGTGCAAGGCTCAACAAACTTTGTCTGTAAGGGCCAGAGAGTAAATATTTCAGGCTTTATGGGTCAAGGGGTCTTTATCCTGACTACTCAGCTCTGCACTGCAGCCATACGCAAAATGTAAGTGAATGAGACTGGTTCTGTTCCAATGAAACTTTATGGACACAAATTTGAATTTTATATAATTTTCGTACATCACCAATTATTCAAGCACTTAAAAGTGTAAAGGCCATTCTTGGTTCACTGGTCATGCAGAAATGGAGTAGGTCTAATTTATAGCCCAGGGGTGTGGTTTGCCTACCCCTGGTCCGGTGTCTTTCCACCTTTAGTGTCAAAAGGTTCTTTGTGGTGTCTCACTTAAGTCTCTTACACTGCAGAGGTGATTTCACCACGATGTGAATAAATAAAACGCAGGCTCCACTAGGGCTCTGCAAAAGCATCTCTTCTCCACATTTTGTCAGCGCTTGTTCTGTCAAGAGCATTTTTGGAGGGAAAGCTAGCTGTGCTGTTAGGAGAAAGACCTTTAATGGTTTTCTTTTTTGATGGTTTTCTTTTTTGAAGTGTAGGTTTTCAGAATACACTAAAGTTGGGCAGTGAAACGTAGACCTCATCCGCATCTAAATGTAGATCTGTCATCTGCAATAAAATGTAGATGATACTAATGTAGACCTCATTAGTATCAGTTCTACCTCTGCTCACATATGGGAGCTGCAAGGCATGGAGGCCAAGGAGGGGCCAGTCCTTCTGTCCTGGCCTCAGATGGTGGTGTTTTCAGGCTTTCCCAACACACATCAACTATCCAGTAATTGCACAAATTGAGGGAAAACACCTGGGAAACTGAGCCTGCAAGTGAGCTCAGACCACCCCTGTTTTTAGTAATTGACCCCTCAATAAATTTTTGTCACTGAAACTCATTCCCAAAGTCCCACTTCACGTGGAAGGCCACCTTTAGTGTGTTTTGTGGAAGGTAGTGACAAACCATGCCTGCAAACTTCCCTCACAGGTCTGCAGTAGTGCTGCCTGTGGTTACAGCTTCGGCAGCATCCTTTACTTTTGCTTGTCTCCTCTAGAAAGAAAGAAAAGGGGATTCACATGCCCTGAGGGTCATTCTGGGTCACAAGCACAGTGCAACCGTCTGTATAGGTAGATTCCAGTTAACCTTCATTGAAGCCCACTCCTTAATGAAGAGAGGTAGAGGCAGGGGGAAACCTAAGCTGCCAAGGGTCAATTGTGAAATTATTTGTATTTGACATGGCATGAATTAAGAATCATTGAGGCCAAAGATACCAACTCAGGTACATCCCTTCTTTGTCTTGCTCCCTCAGTCCTCAAGCCAGGCAGGAGGAAAGGGGATGGACGTGTCCCCCGGCACTTATTTCTACTGGCTCTTTAGTAGTCTGAAATGTCAGTGTAACTGTGGACAGTAAACATGTGAAGTTTTTCATGTTTTCAGACTAAGAAAGTGCTATCAAGAGAGAACAAAACATGTCATTTAGCACCTCTCTGATGTTTTCACTGGTCATGTTTGGAGAAAGATGGACTGAAAAGGGATGAGTGAAGAGCAGTCACCCTTGCACTGTGGACCCTGGGCTGGCTGTGTAAAGTCCACATGTCCCTTGCTTCTCCTGGGAAGGACCTACAGACAGCTGCCTGCTACCTGTCACTCCCCCGTGCAGCTCCTTTGCAGGGTGGTCATCACCCCTATGGTTGGTAGTTGGCTCCTGGCCACCACCACCTTTCTCACCATCAGCTCATAGCACAGCCTCATGGGAACTGGAGGGAGAAGGGTTCAAAGTGTTTACACACAAAAGTTCAGCCACAGGGAAAGGCTCTTTAAAGCAGAGAATGTCTCTCAAGGAAAAAGGAGCTGTGGGCCATGTGGGATGGAAAACCTGGGGGCTGGAGGAGGCAGGTGGAGAGGCAGAGTTGGGACTAAGTTATGGAGAGCTTGCCTTTCTTTTAAAAATGAATGGGAAAGTTCAGCTCCTCCCCCAGTACTCTTGTTCTCCATTCTCCTAATTAACAGAAGTCCACGGGCAGAGGGTGAGATGGACTCAGAGGTCCTCTGAGGTCCCCTTGCCTCCTTGTAAAAGGAGACAAGCAAAGTCTGAGGACTTTGAGGGAGATGGCCACAGGGGCTGAGCCCCAGCAGAAGGGGTCTGTCTGCTCTGATGAAGCGGAGAGTACAAAAGGAAAGGAGCGGAGCCAGGAGAAGCCTTTCTCCTTTGAGGTCCCTGGGGTAACTGAGGTGGGCTGCACTGAGGACAGGGCTAAGCTGCCCTCTGCTTGGATCCACGTGCATTCTGCTACTATAACAGCAGACAGTGGCCCCTGACCTGTGTGAACAGAGTTTAGGCAGCAGTTTGAGAGTCCTCAACTCCACCCATTGCCCTTCAGACTTCACTCCCTCCTTCCCAAGAAAGCTCTCTGGGTTCCAAGGGATCACTCCAGGAAGAACTGGGGTATAGGTTGCTTTTCAAGGTGAGGTCTATGCAGTCCCCTAGAGCAGCAGTCCCAACCTTTTTGGTACCAGGGACCAGTTTTGTGAAAGAGAGTTTTTGCACAGATTGGGTTGAGGGGAATGGCTTTGGGATGATTCAAGTGCATTACATTCAAGTCACCTCCTGCTGAATGGCCTGGTTCCTAACAGGCCTGGACTGGTACTGTCTCAGGGCCCAGAGGTTGGGGACCCCTGCTCTAGAGAAGCAGAGGGCCCCAGAGGGCTGACGGTCCAGACGGAGAGTCAGTCCTGCCTCACAGGGACAGAGGGACATGACAGGACTGGGCTGAAGGGTACAAAGGGACTACTGCAGCTGGGGGAGGGAGATGGAAGACAGGAGCAGTTCTCTCTGAAGAAACCTACAGCCTCAAAAAAACCCGTTTCCCTGATATTTTAGAGGAGTAAAATGATTACCCACCTCCTAATACTGCCTAGATAGGGCTCTTGGCTCAGCCAGACTCTTAAGAATCATCTAGGAACTGGCAGACCAACCAGATCTGGCCCAGCACCTGTTCATGCAGGTAAAGCTGTGTTAGAGCACAGTGTGCTCACGCAGTTACATATTGCCCACAGCAGCTTTCACACGCCAACGGCAGAGTTGAGCAGTTTGTGACAAACACAGAAGGGCCAGCAAAACCTAATATGTGCTATTTGGTGTCAAGTTTACACCAAAAGTCAGCTGACTCCTGATTTGGGTTAACAAGAAGACTTTTAAAAGATTTTTTTTGTAAATTGACCTGAGTTTTAAGTTTTAATCCTGAATCTGCAACTTACTAGCAATGTGAGTATGTATGTCTCAGCACCACCTGGCTACAGCTTCTCCCCTGTAAATTATCAGAGTGCCTCCCAGCGATAGAAGAGAATGCATGAGTGGATGCAGGTGGAGCACTTAGTCCTGAGACCAGGACCTGAAAACCCCTCCATACGTGCACTTGTGTGTTTTTGGTGCAGGGTGGGTGGGGGACTCATACAACATGTCTTAACCCAAACCCTTGTGTCCTCTGCACTGTGATTTTTAAAATTGTGGTAAAATGTACATAACATAAAATTGACCATTAAAAAATTTAAGTGTATAGTTTAGTGGTGTTCAATAGGTTCACTCTTGTGCAGCCATCACCACCATCCATCTCCAGAACCCTTTCATCGTGCAAAATAGAAACTGTGTGCCCATTGCACACTAATTTCCCACTGTCCCACCCACTGTTCCTGGAAGCCACTGTCCCACTTTCTCTCTGTGAGTTCCAGGAACCTCATGTAAGTAGGGTTACACAGTGCTTGCCCTTTTGAGACTGTGTGCTTCACTTAGCAAAATATCTTCAAGGTTCATCCACATGGGAGCATGTGTCAGAATATCCTTCCTTCTTGTGGCTGAATAAGATTCCATTGTACGTGCATACCTCATTTTGTTTCTCTATTCACTGGTAAGTGGACACTTGGGTTGCTTCATGTCTTTGACTATGAATAATAGTGCTGTGAACATGTGTGTATAAATATTTTTCAAGTTCCTGCTTTCAATTATATTGAGGATATACTCAGAAGTGGAATTACTGGACTATACTATTACATAGTATAGTAATTCTACATTTAATCTTTTGTGGGGATGCCCTACTGTTTTCTACAGTGACTGCACTGTCAGGCTGTGGTTTTAAGTGCAAGTCCTCTGTCCTCCTCCAGAGATAAACAAAGGGCTTTTCTACTGATAAAGGTACCTTCCATTTGTGTCTAGCTGTTGCTATTCTTTTTTGTGTCCAGTCTGAATGAGTGAGGGCAATTTTGCCTCTTATAGGACATTTGGCAATAGCTACAGACATTTTTAATTGAAACAACTGGAGAGGAAGGTGCTACTGGCATCTAGTAGGTAACATCCAACAATGTCACTGAATATCCTATAATGCGCATTACAGCTCCATCTTTACTCTGCTTCCAAAAAAGAATTCTCCATCCTAAGATGCCAACAGTGCAGAGGTTGAGAAACCCTAGTCCATACCAAGTAATCAGCTGGAACCAAGTTCATCAAACCAAAAAGCAGAAAAAAGGTAGATCCTGCCTCCCAGACCCCACATTCTCACTGTGAAGGTATTTGGTTCTGGAAGCTCAGCTATACCATGGGGAAGAGAGTGGTTGGTGCTGGGACAGAAGTCTGAACAGGATGCTTTGGAAGCCTCAGAAGGAGGGAGACTTTCATTGTGGCTGTAAAGATGGAGCTCTTCTGGTTTTCTGTGTAATGAGTGTTCCCTTAGACGTGTTTAAAGCAGTGCAAACATTTGCTTTAAGGCATGTTATTGAGCTGGTGACCAGGAAGGTAGAGGGTCTGACTGCAGTGCAGCAGAAGACAGCCTTTCCTGTGGCTCTAGGAGCTGAGCCCTCTGCACTGCTGCTGCTGCTGCAGGACTGCACCCTGGTCCACATCCCCATTTATTAGACCTTGTCTGGGAATCTGCAGTAGTGCTTGGCAGGAGTCTAGACCAGTGCTCCAGAAACAGGACTTCAGGATCCCCTGTGATCACTTAGTCACTCACTTATTCAACAAATATCTAAATACTCCATGTTTGTCAGCACTGGGCTAGATCCTGGGGACATAGTAGTGAGGAAAAATAAATGGGGCTCCTGCTCTCAGCTTCCGGTCCACTGAAGGAGATGACTTTTATCAGCGAATCACATCTATAGTATGTAAAATACAAACTGATATGAGACTTACAAATGAGAGAAATGCCTTTGGGGAGCCTGTGTATCCTAACCTAGAGCACACAGGGACTTACTGAGGAAGTGAGGCTGGAGCTGAGAGGGAAGAGGGGCTTAGGGTTGACCTGAAGGCAGTGGATGGAGGCCAGTGTTTACAGGAATCACAAAGTTCTGAAGAGCTGGTGGGGCTGTGGGCCATGGGAATAAGGCAAGCCTATGTCCTCCTGTGTTCCTTCTCTTCACTCCTGCCCTTCCACATGGTAGAAAGTGAATAGGGTCTCTGCAAGGCCAGTTCATGGTGGCCACATAGACTTTTGGTGATAGGTGGGCAGGTTCGGAATGTAAGCAGATAGGGAGTTAGAGAACGTTACATCAGAGGACCATTGGACTACAGTGGGAGCCCTGAATGGGAAACTGAGTCTTTATTCCAGCGTTGGGCTCTACTGTGACTTTAAGCAAATGTCAGAGCCTCACAGGTTTTCCCCACAGTGGAATGAATAATCTTGTCCATAGATAGCACACTAGGTACCCAGGGGACAGGACCAGAATAAGCTGATTTTACATGGCTCTGCAGGACCTGAGAAGAAAGATAAATAGGAGATAATTATAGTTATTTAAGACTAAAGGATTTTTTCAAGTAGGACCAATAAAGACAGGTTGTAGATTCTGGCATGGTGTGGCTTGCAGGGAAGGCTGAAGAAGCACTTAGTACTAATTTGCCAGGATATGAAGAGTAGGAATTGCCCTGGCTGGGTAGCTCAGTCAGTCAGAGTATCATCCTGTACACTGAAAAAAAAAGGTTGCTGGTTTGATCCCCAGTCAGAGCACATACCTAGGTTGTAGGTTCAGTCCCTGATTGGGGCATGTACAGGAGACAACCGGATCCATGTTTATCTCTCACATCAATCTTACTCTCTCCCTAAATATCAATAAATATATCCTTGGGTGAGGATTAAAAAAAGAGTAGGAATTACTTGGAAGATATAATATTGCTCTCCCTATATTCACTGACAACAGAAAGAGGAAACTGGGTTTGAGATATAGACAGTAAGATTGGAATTAAATAATGGGAAGGATTTGTGGGGGTGGGTGCTGTTAGATTCAGGAATAGTGCCTAAGGTGGGGTATGACATAACATTTCCTGGTTCACCCTAACAAGAGAATAGGTGCCATGTATGGCAAGCCAAGCTGAGGATCCCACCAACCTCTGCTGTTTCCTTCCAGCCTACTTCCAGCTCCAGCACAGTGTGAGATGTCACATTTCACACCAGGTCCAGCAACCCTAGGCTTAGGGTAGGGAGGGAAGAAGGATATTTCCAAAGAAGAGACTAGAATCTGGGTGGGGCAGGAGCTTGGGTTTTCACCCCACCTCCAATGTGATGCCTTTTGTTTCAGTGGAGCTAATAAACTACCTGCTTGCAAAACTGACTCCTCACTTTCCATTCTTTTCCTGTGGCTTTTGAGATAGCTTGTTTATGGATTGTTGGTAAGCCAGAGATTCTACTTTGTGCTAAAGTAGATGCACTTCTAGAATTTTTGCACACACCCTCACTCCCTTTAAAAAAATTCATTCATGTGTAAGTCACTTCTTCTAATGGCTTTCACATCATTCTTTCTTCCCACTTTGTAATGCATCTTATTCTCCCTGAGTGCACATACCTGCCAAATTAAATGTTATGGCTTATCAGCTAGCAGATTGCCATGGGATCAAGCCAAGTATTCTTGCATGTTGTTACAGGCTTTCAAAACATCTGCCAGCTTTTTTGGGGGGTGGGGTCCAGATTAATGTGTATATCCTCCCTGCAGCCCTGTGTTCATTGTCTTCAGCTGTTAGTCACTTTTATACCTGCAGGCTATTCTGAGCAGTTGTCCTTTGGTTAACTGGGGCGGGGGAAGGGAAGGGTCAACTGGGCTATATAATGAACTCCTTGAGGAGTCCTCATTTGGAGATTTAAATTATTAGAGTATAAGAGGACAGTTGCTTCAATTATTCAAATTAGCCATGGTGTGAGGCCATTGCACATCAGACATAAGGCCAGAGAGCAGCGCCCACAGCTCAGCCACATTGCTTCTCAGTTGGTCCCTGATCTTCCATCTTGGTGTCGTTCTAACCAGCCCAGGACTACGGCCTGCGTTTATGACCTCCTCTCACACTGTCTCGTCCAGGGGCAAATTTGGGGCACAGACTGGTGTGATGGGTGCGGGTCACTCAGAGGGACGAAGGAGGCTTATCTGGTCCCCACTCGGAGCTGAAGGACCAACATGTGTGTCCAGAGAACTTAAAAATGTGGGGCCCTGGGACATGAGTGGCCTCATCAGGGAAGGCTCTGAGAGTGTTACCCTCAACTGTATCTTCACAAGGGAGGTAGCATGGCAAAGGATGTGGGCTCGGGCAGAGTGGAAGAAACTGGGCACAAAACCTTGCTCTGCTCACTGAGTGGCCTTGGTGGGTCAGGATCTCTTTCTCTCTCTGCCAGGCACTGTGCTCTATTCTTTACATTTGTTATATTATTTAACTTGACAGCAGCATGTTGTGTGGGTATTATCCTATGGCAGTATTTAGTCCTGTACAGTTTCAGGTACAGTCAGGCCATTGCAGTTGTGCAGAGTGCCAGCTTTGGAATCAGACCTGGATTTGACTCCTGGCACTGTCATTTACTGGCTCTGCAATCTTAGGACAGGTCATTTAACTTCAAACTTCATCTATAAAATGGCGATTGTAACTCCCACCTCCAAGGATTGTTGTGACAATTCAGTACAAATATATGTTTATAGATATAAAATATATAGAAATATATTGATAAACATGTACATGTTTATATAGTTATAACTCATTTAGCAAATTGCCTAGCACATTGGTAGGCACCCAGTAATGGTCTACATTCTAATATTCAGTGGAGGAGAGTGATGGTAATGTGGTCTGCAGAAGCTTGCTTCTGGCTTTTGTAGGATAGGGCTGACTCCAGACATTTATGGAAGGAGGTCCCAGGCAGCTCTCCATGATGATCAGTGTTAACCAATGTGGTCTGGGTTGCTTTCAGAGGCTCCATAAAGAGCTGCCACTCAGCCTGGAGGAACTGGAGGATGTGTTTGATGCACTGGATGCTGATGGCAATGGCTTTCTCAGTCCAGAGGAGTTCACCACTGGTTTTAGTAAGTTCTGATGGAGGCTGGGGCTCTGTTACATCTACCTAACTCTACATAAAGTTCACCCTTTCCCCATCAGGTCTGAGGGTCCTGGTAGCACAAGTTTTCTGCCTTCCTGAAGTTTTCAAGCTCTGGATATCTTGGAGCATTTTTTTCACACATCCTCATTGGCTGTTCACACCACTGCTCTCTCACCACACTGTCACTGCCAAGTTCCCTGCCACCCAGGAATGGCAAGAGGAATACAGAGAAGCTCTGGCAGAAGGTCTGGCATAAAAGGGGGAGCTGAGATGAAATTTACAGCCTCTCCTTTCTGCCTTGATTCTAGAGGACAACAAAATGGGAAAACTATATGACTCACTCCAGCCCAAGTCTGGCTGAGTCTTCCAGGTTGAAGGTGGCAGCTATCAGAGGGATTTCAAGAGGGTTTGAATAGACTGGTCATTCTCAAGGTAACCAGGAGGAAGGAGAGTAGAGATCCATGAATTAGACTGATCTGATATTTGATTAAAACAGATAGTGATCAGCTAAATCAACAGGCAAGTTTCACCACACTTCTGGCTCAGACCATGTACCATATAGTTTCCTGTGAAGTATTGGATGCCTTTCCTGACCTCAGGAGATTGCAATTGACTTAGGAGGAATAATAAGACAGATCGCTATACTTCTAGGCTGTATGAGTATGGAAAAAGTACATTGGAAACTGTACAGTAACTTGTGAATGTGAAGTACAACGATGCTGGTGGAAGGGATGACTAGATGATAACAAGGAGTGTACACAGCCAGGTTGCTGGGATACAATGGAGAGAAAGGTCTTGTTGTTTTGAGTAGAAATTGATGAAGAAATGTGTTTTAAACCACACTTTAAAGTATTAAGAACCACCAAGTTGCCAGAGAACCTGTCATGCATTCTGCCTTTCCCGGGTTCTGGCAATCTCTGGCAGAATCTCTTAGAAGTAGGAAAGACTTAAAATCCAGAACACAATATCCAAGGATCTTTGCTATAGGGGGTTTGTCCTTTTCTCCTCTCAGAAGAACCTCAAATGATTCCTGGTGACTGAGAAAGCGAAGGTCTTCCTGGGTGAGTATTGCCTGATTCGAATCCCTTGTGCCATGCAACCCTCAGGTCGCTTCTTCTTCAGCCAGAACAAATCAAGTCAGGAAGATACAGGTGAATGGGTGGCTCAACTCTGGGAAGAGAAGCTGTTTCAGTCCAGAGCAGAAGAGGATCTGGGTGACATGGATGAAGATGAGGAAGCCCAGTTCCAGATGCTGATGGACAAACTTGGAGCCCAAAATGTTTTGGAAGAGTAAGTGCTGACAGTGCTTTGGGGGATGGAGCCCAGCCTAGGAGCAAGCAACCTTTTCATCTGTTCCATCCAATCATCATGTGTGTTAAGCCCTGAGTTCCAGGCCCCAGGCTCTGTGCTGCCAGCTATGAGATTTGCTCCATACAGCCTGTCCTCTACAGTGACCTGTCTGTGTGTCATGTCAAGGGGCTCTGTCTCCATCTCTGCTTTTCCCATTTTTTTTTCACGGGAATCACCCTACCTCCCTACTCTCCCACTGTCTTCATTTCCTGTGGTTCATTATCAGCACAATCTGTGGCTCAGTGAGAAGAGCTCACCCATTAGAGAGCTGTGCCAGGACTGGAGGGTTTTTCCATGTGTTTTGCCTAAGCCTTCACTATCAGCTCACCATCATGGTCTCCTCCATTGGAGCCAACCAGGGCCTCCAGGGCTGCAGTGCCTCCGAGCCACCCCACCATGGCATGCTCCTAGAAAAGGCACCCTTTGTGGCTTTTTCCTGCATGTTTCATCCCTGAGCCAAACCAAACCTATCGGGAAGCCAAGGCAGGAAATTAACCCGTTTTACTAGCCCATCACTTGGATAATCAGTAGCTCAGCTGAAAATTTTAGATGGTTGGAACTTCAAACAAAACATAATACCCCTGCCATGGCCAGGTGGCTCAGTTGGTTGGAGCATCACCCTGTGCATTGAAAAGTTTGTGGGTTTGATTCTTGGCCAAAGCACACACCTGGATTGCAGGTTTGGTCCCCAGTTGGGGTGCATGTGGGGCGAGGGGGGAGCCAATTGACATTTCTCTCTCTGTCTCTCTTCCTCTCTCTCTCTAAAATCAATAAACATATCCTCAGGATAAAGTTATTTTTAAAAAAACAAAACCATAATGCTGTCCCCACCTTTTTCAAGTGTTTTAGAATAAAGAAACACATGAATCTGAAGCCCCGAAATTTAAAATGGAATGAAATAAAATGATATAAACTAAAATAGTAAAATTAAATAAAATGATGGTATAGCTAATGGAAACCTAAAAGTGGCCTGAAAAACATGGGATACATTCTACCACCTTTTTCTGTTGCCTTTTGCCTTTTTGCATTTGAGTCTCTAGGTCTTGGGTTGGGTATGTGTTTCATGAGAGATGGGAATGGCCTAATGATGGAGCTAATATGACCTGAGCTTAGGAAGAGGAAACCCTGTGGTAGAAGATGACAAAGAGGAAGTAAAAGAGAGGGAGCCTGTAACAGCAGGTCAAAGTAAGTGTCTGTTGCTCTGTGGATTGTTTTAGCAAATGGCAGGCTGTCCAAATGATTCGATAGACTGTGTCAGAATTGAGAAAGTCTTGGAAAAGCTTGTGCAGGCCAGGAAGGGATAGACAGAGAGCTTGAGACAGCCCTGTGGGAGGCTCTGGCCAGGAAGAGAAATGACACAGTGGCAGTGGCAGCAGCTCTGCTCAGGCATAGAGGGCCTGGTACAGGCACAGATCTGCAGAGCTGGAGTGGGGCAGGTGGGTGTGCTGGGCACGCAGGTATGTGGGAAGCTCATTAGTCACATACCTGACTCAGTTTCTCCAAGGACAAAAGACAAGATCTCAGTCACCACTGCCAGTGACCCCGTGGAGCCTCCTCCTTGAGGAGGAGGAAGGAGAGGGCAGATGGGTGAGCCAAAGGACTGTAATGAAGAAGAGGTACATCTCTACTCCCATCACTTCCAGAACAACCGCCTTCCTGGTAAGACTCTTAAGTCAGAGTTTACCAGATGTCATTCTGGGGACTTTTGTCAAAGGCAGAACTGAGTCAACATGCGACATCCTGGAAAAGAGAAGGCTCTGGGGAAGGTTTCAAGAGTAGGCTACAAAAAATGATACACAGAAGATGGTGACCAGTAATTTCCATCCTCATTGAAGCTGAATAAGAAGAAATTAGGCTTAAGTTGCTGCATGAGGGTCATGACCTCATGACCTTTGGACTTCAGATAAAGAAATAGAGGGAACTTTAAGACTCTACTCACAGACTTTTGGCCAAGATGGAGGCATAGGTGGAAACACTGTGCCTCCTCACACAACCAAAATTAAGGGCCACATAGATTTAGAAACAAAAACACAACCAGAACAGACAGAAAATTGAACTGTACCAAAGTATGACAATAACAAACCATTCATCCAGACGATAAACCAGGCAAAGGAATGAGAGTGAGACAGACTGCGCAACCCAGGGCCCCAGTGAGGGGAATTAAAGCCTAAAAGCACCAATTGGAGAAACTTTCAGGGTTGAGATGCTGGGAGAGACTCACAGCCTCACAGAAGAATTTGTTGGAGAGACCCACAGAGTCCTAGAAAGTACACAAGTCCACACACCAAGGAACCAGCACCAGAATGACCCAATTTGCTTGTGGGAAGCAGCAGAGGGGACCAAAATCCAAGAGAGAGTAGAAAAAATGTCATTGCTCCCTCTCTGACCCCACCCCCACATACAGCATCATAACCCAGCAGCTGGGTTGCCCTGCCCTGATGAGCATCTAAGGCTCTGTCCCTCATACATAACAAGTACAAACAGACCAAAACATTGTGGCTCAAGCAGAAGAATAGTTCAAACTCCCAGAGCCAATACTTCTAAGCGACCAAGAGATAGCCAACCTATCAGATGCACAGTTCAAACACTGGTGATCAGGATGCTCATAGAACTGGTTGATTTTAGTTGCAAATTAGATGAAAAAAATGAAGGCTACACTAAGTGAAATGAAGGAAAATGCACAGGGAACCAATAGTGATGGAAACAGAACTGGGACTCCAATCAACCGAGTGGACCAGAAGGAAGAAAGAAATGACCAAACAGAAAAGAATGAACAAACAAGAATTCAAAAAAAAAATGAGGAGAGGCTTAGGAACCTCCAGGACATCTTTAAACGCTCCAACATCCGAATTATAGGGGTACCAGAAGGGGAAGAGGAAGAGCCACAAGTGGAAACCTTATTTGAACAAATAATGAAGGAGGACTTCCCCAATCTGGCAAAGGAAATAGACTTCCAGGAAATCCAGAAAGCTCAGAGAGTCCCAAAGAAGTTGGACCCAAGGAGGAACACACGAAGACACATCATAATTACATTAGCCAAGATTAAAATGAAGGAGAGAATCTAGAAGCAGCAAGAGATAGGGGGACAGTCACCTACAAAGGAGTTCCCATCAGACTGTCAGCTGATTTCTCAAAAGAGACCTTACAGGCAAGAAGGGGCTGGAAAGAAGTACTCCAAGTCATGAAATGCAAGGACCCACATCCAAGATTGCTCTATCCAGCAAAGATTTCATTTGGAAAGGAAGGGCATATAAAGTGCTTCTCAGATAAGGTCAAGTTCAAGGAGTTCATTATCACCAAGCCCTTATTATATGAAATGTTAAGGGGACTTATCTAAGAAAAAGAAGATTAAAAAATATGAACAGTGAAAGAACAGCAAACTCATGGTTATTAACAACCACACCTAAAACGAAAGCAAACTAAGTGGACAGCTAGATCAGGAGCAGAACCATAGAAATGGAGATTATAAGGAGGGCTAGCAACAGGGGAGTGAGAGGAGGAGAAGGGGGGAGAAGGTACAGAGACTAAGTAGTGTAGACTGTAGGTGGAAAATAGACAGGGGGAGGGCAAGAATAGTATGGGAAATGTAGAAGCTAAAGAACTTATGACACATGGACATGAAGTAAAGGCGGGGAAGGTGGGTGGGAGGAGGTGTGCAGGGTGGAGGGGAATGAAGGGGGAAGTGGGACAACTGTAGTGGCATAATCATTAAAATATATTTTGAAAAAAAGACTCCACTCACCTAGATGGTTCGTGTGTTGTCCCAGAAGCAGGAAGATGGACACATTGACTTCCCTAATCCCTTCTAGCTTCATAGCCTATATCTTTCCAGGGGGAGTACCCTGAGTATCTTCTGGACAGCTGGGCTCCCAACTTTTTTTGATGGTCTGATTTGCTGAATGATTTTGCTGCTTATACATCTGGCTTTTTTTTAAAAAAATCAAGGATTGAAAGACATATGTGTGCTCCAGAAATCTGGGGGAATTGACATGGCCATGACTAAGTGGTTCAAAGAGCTTTGGAAGAGGGTCAGGTGGGTTTGCAAATCTCACTGGAGGCTCTGGTGCAATTGGTGGCTCTGCCAGGCTCCATTAGGAACTTGGCAGATGTGAAAAGACAGACCTAGACTAGCAAGATGGATCTTGATTTTCATAATGCATTTACTTCATGAGGAGAGCAACCTGTCACAGTGACAGGAAGCCATTATAGTATCTCCCTGAGACCTTTTATCTCTGAAACTTTTGTGCCATCTCCATTGTGCTTAGATAATAAAGTGGATAGCCCCAACCTGTTCTGTGCAGGGAAAGTGGACTCATTATGGGCAACAGGGAGGCTCCTTATCTCCCCTTCCCTTGTGTCCCAGATTCCCTCATGTCATCCAGTGCAATGCTAGGTTTTCAACAGATAATAAATACTTTTTTAGTTAGGTGAGTGGATAAATGGATGGATGGATGGAAGGATGGGTGGGTGGATGGGTGGTCTAGATGAGTCTGTGGATGTTTGGATGAGTTGGAGCAAGGGAAGGAAGGAGGGAGGGGTGGTTGGATAGATGATAACTAACCAGAGTTATGTATATTTCTCAGCTGGCCTCTTCTCTAGAGTATTATCTACATCCAAGGCACATTGCTAATGTGGCATTATCAAATATCACTTTGAGGAAAGTTTCTCAAATGCGGTGCTTGTTATACAAGCCCGAAGAGTTTTATTCTTTATCCCAAGGGTTTCTGGTCATAGCTACCCTCAAATCACTGGTTTTAGCATTGAATGGGGTGCAAATCAGATTGCTTTCTAGCTCAGTGGGCTCATTGGCTGCAGATTACCAAGTTGCTCCAGAGAGGGGAACAGGGTCCATGGTATACGCCCCTCCCTATGCCTCCCTGCTGGTCAGCACGATCTTAGTTGTCTCTGGCTGTGCACATGCATGTACATGTCTCTGTTTCAGGGTGGCCTAGAAATGTGGCAAAGACATAGACATTTTCTCTATGTCTTTGTCTCTTTGCCTGCTCTGTCACCTCCAGATTTTTGTTTTTCCATGTGTCTGCACATAACTTTCTGACTTGCCACTTCCCTTCCTTTCACCTGTCAGTCATTCCTGGTACCACCGGGCCCCAGTGATGTGTTGCTTATTCTCTTCCATCCCCTACAGTGACAGTTGCTCTCTGCCATCCATCAGATGGCACATTTTCCCCTCTCAGCTGTGAGGCCCTTCCTTCCCTAGGGCGATAGGCTCTCTCCTGTAGTTCCATAGGATTTGTCCTTACATGCACTGGGCCCCCTTCCTCCTCTCTTCCTTCAGGCATCTGAGGTGTGCCCAGCACGTGGCTGAGCATACTCAGTACCACCAGCCCATCAAGAAATATGGGCGAGTGGAAGCAGCCAGGCAAGGCAGACAAGGCAGCCAACATGGGAGCCAGACAGCCCCGTTTCCCTCCCAGTTCCATCACTTACCTCTGAGTGGTCCGAGACAGCTCACAGGTGAACCTTTCCTCTCCTCTCCTCATCTGCTTCCTTGCTGTAAATGGGTGATGGCAGCACCTGCTTCAGAGGTTGCTGTGAGATAAAATGAGACAATGTGCACACAGCAAGCATTCAATCTTAGCCACTGTCATCATTATAATAATGACAATGTTGTTTCTGGCTGTTTATTTCGCATCTAGGAACGTTCCCTTAAAGCCTCATTTCCACAGTCCTACATTAATGGCCCCTTTCCTCTTGCAGTGAAAGTGATGTCAAGCAACTCTGGCTGCAGCTGAAGAAGGATGAGCCTCACTTACTGTCCAACTTTGAGGATTTCCTGACCAGAATCTTCTCCCAGCTCCAAGAAGCCCACGAGGAGAAGAACGAACTGGAGTGTGCCCTGAAAAAGTGGGTGCCCTCAGCTGCTCTCTGTGTGCCTGTGTGAAAAGCATGAATGTGAAGGGCACTTTCTCTTACATTCTGTCATGGCAGAGTGGGGGCCAGTCCTAGAGCTGTCATAATGTATACGTGTGTATATATATGCATGTATGTATGTGTGTGTACATATATGTATGTTTAAGCTCTTGCTCACATTTATTAGGCCCTGCCCATATACTAGGCACTGTTCTAAATGCTTTACACTAGCTCATTTGGATTTATTATTATCCACATTACAGGTGAGGAAGTCAAGGGACTGAAAGGTTAAGTAACAAGCCCCCGAATGCACAGCTTGTCAGTGGCAGAGCCAGGATTCAGAGGGAGAAAGCCTGGCACCCGAGACCAGTTGGAAAAGCATTTCACCTGCCCCTGGACAGGAGGGTTCAGCATATTGGACCCACCCTCCCCCAACTCTGGGCTGGTCCTTGATTCACTGAATCTCCCCTTTCCTGGTCACCTCTGCCATTATAGTCTCATATCTCTCCTCCCCACTTTGCCCCCAGGGCCTCTAAAGACAACTAGTGATTTCTAGGGCTCCTCCTGGCCTGGAGGAGGCAGCACCAGGCCAGGTGCACAGCAACACCTGAAGAGGCTGCTTAGAAATGAAATGGGAGTCAGCCAGGCACTAGTGGGCCACAGAGGCTACACCGGCCTGGTGATGCCTGTTTTCCTGTGGGAAGGGAATGAGTGTGCCACTGGGGCCTTGTGCTTGTCCAGAGCCAGCTACTGGCCTGTGACACATGGTATAACTAAGGAGGATGCGTAATCCTGAAGATGTGGCCAAAGTGCCACCTGGATCTGGGTAGACCTGGGAAGCACGCCGAGGTGGCCCTACCCCATACCTCAGCCACACACAATTGACCTCACCTGGAGATCCGCTCATATTTCATAGGAATCCTCAGCAATTCCAACACAGACCACACACCCCTCTATGTAGATACTTCCCCATGAATCTTCCTGGGACCCAGTACTATCTCCTGGGGTAAGTTGTCTGTCTGTGTGGACTTAGTGGGCTTAGTGGGCTGTGTGGACTGTGTGTGGGCTTAGTGGAAGCACACAAGCCCCTAATTTAAAGAGCTCACCATGGGTCTTCCTGTGTAGGTCAGCTCTCTACACATTACCTTGAGCTCCTTTGCACCCTGCCTCCCCTCCATTAACTCTAAAGATAACTTGTTGAGGTCCACCAGGTACACACAGGTCTGGAAAACTCGACCTTTAGGACCTTGAGTTATGAGAAAGTTATGACCAAGCAGTGCTAGAAGGAACATGGTTTGATTAGAGCAAATGTTAGGAGTCTTCTGGGGAGAGGCCCCCAAGGCTTAGAAAAAGGAGGAGTTCAGGGTACATTTCCATATAGCCTATAGCTGACTAATCCACGAGCCAGACAGATCCAAGTTTGAATGTTGGCTCTGTCACTTACTAGCTCTGTGACTGGGGCCAAGTTACTTGACCTCTCTGAATCTCAGCTTCCTTATCTGTAAAATAAGGATGATAATACTATCCATCTCAGAATCTGAGGATTAAATGCAATAATACATGTAAGCATTTGGAATAATTCAGGCTCATAAGTATTCTATGAATGTTAAAATAATAATACTTACTGTTCTAAATGTTTGTCAGTCTTAGAGGATTTGACAGATTGAGGTGGAGAGTTTAAGCCTGGATATAATCAGAGGTGAAATGTAAGTGTTTATTGACCCTTTCAGGCAGCCCGGTGTAGAGCCTTGCTACTCAAAGCATTAGCATCACCTGGAAATTCCTTAGGAATGCAGAATCTCAGGCCCTGTTCCAGTCCTACTGAATCTGCATTTTACTCAGATGTCCAGGTGCTTCGAGTGTGGACTTGAGAAGTGGGAGGCAGGGAATTAGGAGCTCTGGGGTTGAGTCACATGTGGCTCTTCATCCATCTAGCTCTGTGACCTTGCTCAAGTATCTGGGCCTGTCTGTGCCTTGGTTTCCCCACCTGTAAAATGATAGGGCTGGATTAGTTCTTGACCCTCACCACACCCTCACTGCCCTCTGACTATAGCATTGATCACCCCAGGAGCCACAGCAGAAGTCAGGTGGCTCCCCATAGAGGTGGGTGTTTTTGTTCTCTAAGGCATTGTGGGTAATTACAGTCAGAATGGGCAGGCAGTGGCCTGGCCCATGGCCTGTAATCTCATCTGCAGGACGCTCTGCTTTGCTGGTCCACATTCCTGCAGAGAAGGACCAGTGCTCTTGGCTTGCTACAGAGCCTCTTAGCCCTTACATTCATCTTAAAGTGCCTCTATTAGAGCTTTTGTCCCAACTTAGTGATTGCTTAAAAAGTTCTGAGATGAATGTCAAGGTCAGTCTTGGCCGCATGTGCAAAAGTAGCTCAGCCAAAGGTTCCAGCCCTTCATACCCATTGTCTGTTGATATCCCTGCCAGATACACCCACCCTGGGGTTAGCTGATGAGTGCCCACTCCTGGCCGAGGAGCTCTGGTGGGACTGGGGGCTCACTGAGCTCTCTGGCCAGTCGCATTCCTGGGGTGTTTTCTGGGTGCAGAACCAGAGAACTGCAGATTGTAGTGAGCAGCACACTGCAACAGGACAGGAGAAACTTGAGTTCTTCTTGCCTCAGCACTGCCATGGATCAGATGTGTGAGCTTAGGCAACTTGCTTTACCTCTCTGTACATTAGTTTCCTTATTGGTAACATGAGAAAATGGGACTGGTGTTTTCAAACTTTTTGTAATTGTGACTCAGTAGAAGAAATGTACTTGACTTTGTAACTTCCATACACTGGAGTTTGTGTTTAACTGAAACCAAAGGGAAATAGTGCTCACCCTTATTATATGGGTCATGCTTTGATATTTTCTATTAGAGTCCTTTCATTCTCTTCTCTTCAAGACAAAAAAAAGATTGGTCACTTCTCACTCCTGGGTATGAGTGGACAAGATGAGTTATAAGGGCTGTTAGAGCCCAGAAGTCAAACAAGAAACCAGAATCCCCCAGTAGGGTATAGAACATTTAAATGGAATTCTTCACAAATGACTCAGGGTGAAGTTAAGTGAGTCTGGGGCATCTTCTAGGACACAGGTGGCAATCCATGGGTCGAATCCGGCCCTCTACCTTGTTTTATCCAGCCCAGCACCTTGTTTCTACATGGTGGCAGCACCAAACTCCTTGCCCCTCGTTGAAGAGTAGTTACATATTTACAGCCCTAAAATTACATTTGGCCCTTTGAAGGCAACCATGAGGCTGATGTGGTCCCTGGTGAAAATGAGTTTGACACCCCTGTTCAGGAGATGAGTTTGGGGGTTTGGGCTTGTTTGTGGGAGGGCCATAGCCAAGTGTTTGTGAAGGAAGAAAAAAGAAGGTCTTGGGAATAGCCCAGTTCAGGCTGGTTTTGGGGATTCCTGAGAAGTGTCAGAGCATCTCCCAGCCTCCTCCATGGCTGCTTTTCAGTAGAGGGAATGACACTTCGGTCCCACCAGGGAAATGCGAACTTGTCCCGGAGATGGTGATGAGAGCCCAGGCCACTGCCTCTGTGTGTTCAGCTCAGGGCTAGGTGTTTCTAGTAGCCTACTTTTAATGAGCACTTATTCTGTGCCAGGCTCTCAATTAAGCAAATAGAACACAGAGTCCCTGTCACTGAGAAGTTTATGATCATCACACTGATGAAGTAGAGCTTATACCCATACAAATTCTGCCACAAAGCCAGCTAGAAAATTCCCATTCTGTTGAAACACTAGACAGTGTTGCCATTGGCAGCAGCAGCCGCTGCTTCCTCCTTTTCCAAACCACACAACTTGTTTCTTCCTCCCAATGGGCCCAGAGGAGATGGGACTGACCTCAGGGGAAATCTGGTCTCAACCAGGTTAAACAGCTCTCAGATTTCCTATCCCAGCTCCTCAGGCTGGGCCATGCCCTTCAGGGTTACAGTTTTGTTTCAGTGAGTGAAACAGGCCCCCCAGTTTCCTCTTCAGGTTCACTTCCAGGTTCTGAGAGGAAGGAGGATGCAGCTAAGTTGAATGCTTGGCACACACTCTTACAAGCTGATGTCAGGAGACCCACCTTCTGGGGCACTGCCAGAAATAACCTGGGGCCCTCCTTACCTCACTGCCACGGATTTCTTTTAAACCTGCACATTGGGAATAAGGAAAGAGGCAAGTGTAGGAGCATTTAGTTTCTCAGCCCCTTTGCCAGAGGTTGAGGAAATCTCAGATTTGAGTTGAAAACCCAGGGACAATGTTTGACTCTACTGCATGTCCCACTGGGACGTAGCCATAGTTTTTTTGGGTGAGGTAGGAGACAAGGTCAAATGAAGGCACCTTGGGCTAAAGCCCAGTTCTTCTGCTGAACTTTCAGTGTGAGGTATGATCCATCTGTGCCTCTGCTTCTCTCCAAGAAAGTGGGGTTAGATTACTCCTGTGTCCACTGCAGGGACTCAGAGGACTTTGCAGCATGAGCGATGTAGCTTAGACTAAGGAAGAACTTCTAGCCATCAGGATTAGGGATTTCTCTGCCATGGAAAGTGTCTTCCTCAGTGCCTTCACCTCCTCTGAACATAGAATGGTGCTATCTGGAGGCAGCAGATTTGGGTCTTTCACCAGAGTTACTGGGGGATGCCAAGGCCCCACCCCAGGAGGGCCTAATTCACTTGGCCTAGGGTGGGGACTTAAAGTCTGCACTTATAAGATATTCTGAGGAATTCTGACTTCTGGCCTGAATTGGAACCTGCTGGATAATTGACCTGGTTGGGTTCATTACTGGGATCTAGCCCCCAGGCGAGGGGTGAGGATGAACCGGCTGTGTCTCGAGGGTGCTCTGAGCTTTGGGGAAAAGTCCAGCCATGGGCTGTGCTCTGCCTGCCCTGGCTCAATCTCTTCAGCTCTGTAGCCTGAGAATGTCATTTAGGTTACCTGTTCCTCATCATTGGTGGTCACTCTTGGTCTTGACAAGTTTAGCAACACTCTGCATGCCCTCATTGGAATAAGTTTCTC